GTGTTCAAAGCGGTCTCGTCTCTGGAAACAGAGCATCCCAATAGAAAATGATTACAGGTACTGACATTTGAAGTTGGCCCAATACTTCTAAGAAATCCCAACTCTGTGGCTTTGCAGTGATGTCCACCACCAGCCAACATGCTTTGCCCATAAAGCAGAGTTCCCAGTGTGTTTTTCATTATATTAGTTCTAAGATGTGAAAGGGAGGATCAGCAGACACCTAGAGAAAATTGTGAACACAGAATCAGTCCCAAATAACTAAGCCAAAATAAGAATGTGAAGGTAATGCTTAAAACAAGAGAGGTTTTTAATCTGCAAAGTCATAATTAGTCACTCCACATAATTAACATGTGAATTAGGATGCTATGAAAGATCCAGAATCAGAGACTATGAAATTTAAAAATTAGGTGTAATATAGAGAAGTAAAACAGCGCATCAAGATATTGCCCTGAAGAAATCTAGGGAGATATAAGAAGTTGAACAAAATGATGAAAACCAGAGAAAGCAGATAACAAAAACATAATATCAGCCAATGAGAGCTAATATTCACACAGAAGACTTACAGCATGGAAAAAGAAATGTAGGAAGTTATAACAAAAAACCTTAAAAAGCATTTTTTAAGAATTAATGGTGTTGGTTTTTCTCATAGAAGAACTAAGTCCCCAGGATAGTTAATAAAAAATATGTAAATATATGTATACCTTTTGAAATAAAAGCAAAAGAAGAAAATGCTATTTCCAGAGAGAAAACAGGGGGTCACATATGAAGGATTGTACTGAGAGTGAGATCATATTTCTCACTGGCCTCAGCAGATAGAACACAGTGGATCAGTGACACTAAAATTAAGGGGAAAATCACTTCCAAACCAGAATTTTGCACCTAGCCTCACTATCAATCAAGGAGAAGAGAGATTAAACAGTCCCCCGTTAATTAGGGATAGTTAAATTATCAGATAGGCAAATTGGCAAAAGGTTTACCTTAAGTATGATGTTCCTAAAGCAGACCCCGGGACTATGCTTAGCCAAAATAAAGGAGTAGTGAGGCACAAATTAACAGATCGAGAGACATTGCAGGAGAGAGGCCAAAGGAACACCCAGGGGGAGGGGGAAGAGGAAGGCTGTTGGCTACACAACAAAACTATAGAGCAAGCAGTCCACGTTCTAAACGAGGATTGAGAGTTCTGGGGAGGGTGGTAGGATGCCTCCAGAACACAGTAAAATTTGGATTTACTAATAGGAAAGGTTAGAAGTTACTGAGAGTTTGGGCCTGGAGTTTGAAGATTACTGTGAGGTGGGTATATAGAAAACTAAACAAACAAACACACTGGTAAGTATTGAGTTGGGTAAAACTAAATTTATTAAAGAAAACTTGGAATTGTGTAGCTGAAGTTTTCCTGTGTCCCACGGGCCAGCGGTCAGGACAAATCTCTCCTACTTGCATGCCCCAAGTAAACACACAGAGGCTTGATATTAATTAAAACTGTTTGGCCATTAGCTCAGGCTTTCCACTGACTAGCTCTTACACTTAAACTCAGCCCATTTCTGTTAATCTATGTGTTGCCACATGTTCCTGGGCTTTACCTTTGTGCCATTACATGCTGCTCCCTGGACAGTGGACTGGTGTGTCTCCTGACTCCGCCTTCCTCTTCCCAGAATTCTCCTTGTCTGCTTATCCCGCCTATACTTCCTGCCTGGCTACTGGTCCATCAGCTTTTAATTTATCAACCAATCAGAGCAACACATTTACAGACTACAGAACTTCCCACAGCAGAACTGCACTATACTAAATGACTCAGTTTAGAGTAGCATGTAGGGGCCGGGGAGATGGCTGAGCAAGTAAAGGCTTTTGCCAAGAAGCCTGAAGACCTGCGTTTGACCCCCAAGACCTACTTGGTGAAAGGAGTAAACCAACTCCTGGCTGTTGTTCTCTGAGTTCTCCAGGCATACATGTGTGAGCATGCATGTGTATGCACAAGCGCACGCGCGCGCGCGTGCGCGCGCGCGCACACACACACACACACACATATACAAATAAATAAATAAGCATAATTCTTAAAAAATAACATAAATTGTATTAATAACACACTAAACAAGGGCTTGAAGACATAGCTTCAGTAGAGGGCCTGACCCCTGAAAGCATAATGGCTTGAGTTTGCAACCCCACAATATATGGTAATATATGGTTAAAAAAATAGCTGGGCAGGATGGCTTGAGTTAATAATCCCAGTGCTTCAGAGTCTAGGACAGAAAGATTCCCTGGAACTCATTGGCCAACCTAAGCAAATCAATGAGCTCTGAGTTCTGTAAAACAGCCTGCCTCCAACAGTGAGTAGAACAATCGAAAAAGGCATCTGACTTCCACCTTTGGATTTCAAGTGCATAGGCATACATTCAAGAGCAACTGCACAAACACAGGCCTATACCATGTAAACTTGCCATACACACAACACATAAATAAACAATGAAAACCAAATGCTTATTTTAACAGCAAGTAGAACTTTTCAGAAAGCACAAACCTGAGAACAGGTTGGAGAGAGAAACTCAGAGGACTGTATGACAGACTTTAGTCTCAGAAATATAACCCTATGCCACTCTCAGAAGTAACAGTGTAAGAGGCAAATTTTCAGAAAAAGATATGTGAAGACTGTTCTCTCCCAGATGTATATGACCCAGGACAGCTCACAAGGTCACTAATTCCATAAATAGACTAAAAGTAAATATCTACCCCATCCAGAGCTGGGACACCAGTGCCATGGGTGCATTTAAGGTTGGATGCCATGTTGGAGCACAGTCCAAGAATGGAGTTGTGTGAGAATTCTGAGTGCTTGTGAGAAAACTCCAAGACAACAAGACGAGAGTCTTGTGACCTCAGTTTCTTCAAAACACAGAATCTTTCTTGGAATCTGTTTTCACGCTCCTCCCAGGTGTAGCGGATAAGAGTGAGTTGACTTCAGTTCGTGTATCTCTATAGAAAAACATGTTTTTGCCACATGTGGCTTGTCCTTGTGATTGAACACATTACTCATGTGACTCTTCTTAACCCTTGGGGTATAAATAGTCTGATGCTCAGAATAAAGTAGGCTATTACAAGAGACTTTAGTCTGCCTCATTTTTAGGCCCCACTCTCCCAGGTTCATGCCACCAACTAGAAAGGTAAACAGTGTCATGGTCCTCTCCCTTGGAAACAGAGTGCTCACATGAATTCCCTAAACACTGTATTTCCTCGTCACAGAAGTAAAATCGGAGGGAAGTCTTCCTGGGGCTGAGTGAACAGAGGCTGTAGACGTAGGTTAGAAAGCTGTAGAAGCCTAGACATGACAGTAGAGGGTTGACAGTGACCACCAGAAGCTAGGACACACAAAGTACTATGCCTGTCTCCCAGAGCATACAGCAAACCAGCACTCATTTTGGATTCTAGTCCCCAGACCTGTGAGGAAGCCACATACCAGTGAGGAGCCCCTCACTTCATAGCACTGTGATTGGACAGTCCTAGAAACTAATACTATACCTGATATCCTCCAGATCCCCAGCAAAACCAAGTCTTTTCTTGTCTGTTATTACAGAGAAGAAAAAGGACTTTTTGTCTCCATGGCACAGCACAGGGCTGTGTACTTGCCACGTCCACACTGGTGCTCAGAAACCCTTCCCAGACCATGACACCCGGGTCGTCTGCTTGATAGACATCTCATTTACTGATCCCAGTGAAGGGTGGCCAAGCTCTCCAAAGACAGGCTGGCAGGGACAGAGTAACTCTACAGCTATTAAAAGCAACACAAAACAAAACAAGATTCAAGGTTAAACACTGGAACAAGGATTTGTTTAGAACGTGTTTTGCTATCTGTGGTCAAATTGCTGAATCACATACCTCTCATCTGTTAGCTTTATACCTACAAGCCCAGAACTTCTTATGTCTTATGGGGCAGTTTAGTGACTCAGTGTTCTTAGTGTTTGTTACAAAACTGACTTCTGTTTGGAATGAGCAAGGCCTTGCAGAAGGAACTATACCAGACTCACTCTTCTGAGATCCCACCTCAGTGTGCTCGAAAATGTGAAGTAGTTAAACAGTGGGTATGTGAGCAAAAAGCATTACCCTACTATACATATTGCTGCTGGTTTTGCAATAAAGTGAAGGGAGAGCTGTTATACTTGTTAGTTCTTGTATGGAAGCTAAATGATGGGGCTAGGGGAAAAGGCATGCATGGTCTGATCATCAGACACAAAACGGAGTGTGTGGATAACCACCCTGCTAGCTAGCTGCCTGCTCCGAGAACGAGGCCTGGAGTCTGAAATCTTTTCCAGGTTAATTGGGGGCAGCTGCTTGTTTAAAGAGTCCGGCAATTTTTCTGGAGAACCGACTAGCCAGATCTAGCCCATCTGATTATGAGTGAAAACAATGGGGCTTCCTTGTTTTTTGTTTTGTTTTGTTTGTTTGTTTTTAAGTATGTTTTGAAGGCAGGAGGCGAGAAAGCTGAATTCTGCCCAACAGTTGATGGTGACATTTAATACGGTCAGGAGTAAGCCACACATTACAAATTGGTAAGCAAGGCACTCAGTAGACCGCAGTTTCTGTACCAGCTGGGGAACTCAGAGATGCGAAAAATATTCTAGGATTGCAGTCTGCACTGTCCCCGAAGAATCTTCTGATTAAGTGAGGAAGCCCAGGAACACAGGCAGGAAAGGAAGACTTATTTTTAGTTATTGCCTTTGGCCAAAGTTCTCTGCCTAAATGGAGGGAATTTATTCTGAAAAACAGAGTTTTCTTTCTTGCCACATAAAGAAACAAAAATAGCAAAAGGCCTCGTAAATTATCATTCTTCAGTGTCAGGTTATGGAACTGACTGCTGAGGGAGGGCTGCTACAAAGTCACTCTGCAGGCAAGAGTCCCCTGCCTGTTTCTGAACACCCAAGTGACAACCAGGAACAGGAGAGAGGGCCTCGAGGCAAAAGCTTTTATTTTATTTTACTTTTTCCATGTACAAGTCCGTGTTTCACAGAAGGTCCCAGATGTGTAGACTCCCTCGTCATTATCATACATTTCTCTTCCTTCAGCCAAATCCCGTGTCAAAAAGCAGTCACACACCTCTGATACCACACCTGAGGATGTCAGACGTGTGCACTCCACACACAGACGCTTGGCAATCTTTCTGGCCTCTTTTCTCCTTCACCTCAGCTGTAAACCTCCTCAAAAAAAAAAAAAAAAAAAAAAAAAAAAACAGAAACAAAATAAGTGATTATATTGGTCATTGAAATTTGAATGACCACAGACATCTGAAATCTACAGTCTGTCCTAACTTACTAAAACAGGCAAAATTAAAAAGAGCTCAATATGCTTCACTTCCTCACCCCACCACTGCCTTTATTGTGATGCTGAGGCATCCTTTGTTTGTTAGGCTGAATTCAAAGATGTCCCACCGTAAAATTTCCATCCTTATTCATCGTATAATGATCTCATTCCTATGATTGTATGTCATGACATGGAATAAAGACATGTTTGCAATGTAGTTAAGGTCACTCATCAATTATCTTATAATGCCAGTGTGAGTTTGTGGACCCAGTCCAGTCATACCAGCCCTTTTTGTCCAGCTGGTAGAAAAAGAAGCCAGATGGATTCAGAGCGTCACAGCACTCTGTTGAAAGAAAAATTCCACTGATGAATGGAGGCAGCCATAGGGTCAGGACCTCAAACCTCAGTGGGACCCACCTGAAGTGACCTGGAGAACTCTGAAGTGTCTGAATCTGTTGAGTGCTATGGTTTAGATCATAAACGTTGCTAATAGGCCCAAGTGTTGAATGCTTGTTCTCCAGTGACCCTATTGAGAGGTGATGGAAGTTTTAAGAAGACCTGGAGAGCTCCAGGTCTTTAGGACTAATCTCTTGAAGGAGGCAGAAGGACTCCAACCCTTTCTTCCTCCTCTGACTTGCTTCCTAACCATGAGATGAATGGTTTTGCTCTCCCCCTGGCTTCTGTCTCAAACTGCTGCTTCAGCACAGGTTCAAAGCTCTAAAACTGCGAACCAAAGTAAGTCTGGGGTTTTTTTAATTAGCATAGTAATGAAAGAAAGACCACAGTGATTGTTGTAAGCTAAATTTGTGATCATTTATTATCGCTCAGTAACAGAAAACACTTCTATACCCTGTGTCTGAGACACTATTTCTGCAAGCTAGCCAGTAACCCAATCCCTCTGAGACTGGAATTGTGCCCTTCCCTAGCCTTATGTACCCATCTCTTCACAAAAATTCCTAGCCTGATGACAGGCTCTCTGCCACCTGCTCAAAATTATTGGGATACGGAAGGACTATGATCCTATCTAGGTTCCCTAGGTTCTTTGGCCTCTGACTTACAAATTCTTGGGATCTAGTCCTTAGGCATCCCTGCCTTCCCTCTTAAATACAAATCTATTCTCATGCTAATACCAAAGGAGCCTGGGATTTGAGAACTCTACCACTTACTGTGTATGTCGCATTAGGAGCATCATTAATCCTTTGGAATTCATGGCTGGGTTCTGTGTGAATTAATTGCAATGTGTGTAAAGTAGATAGCAGCTGATTATCATTGTTATCACTTTTTGTATCCACACAACTGAATGGGATCATTTTTGCTGAAATGGCCTCCCCTGCAAGCTTTCAGCCATCTAGTCCCCACGAATTTCTACTTTGTGGGGGTGGAACCACTAAAAAAACCCTACTATTCCCAGTTAACATACCATGTTATTGTCACCATGGCCCAGCTTACAATGTATGACACCCCTTGCATCCATTTTACTCACTTGTCAGTTTTCAAGGGTCTTCCTACATGCCAGGTGCTGTAGAAGGAACAAGGATATATTAGTGAACCAAGCTGATAAGAACTCAGAATTTATGTTCTAATATAAGCTTTGTAGGATGGAGTCATTCTAGAAGGTGTGTGAATATAACACCATTTTGAAGTATCCCCAAGAAGCTCAGCTTCAGGATAAGAGCCATCATTCCCCTGAAAATGTATGGAAATGTAATCACCATTATTCTTGCATCAGAGAGCAGCAAATATTGCCTCTCACATCTGATAGCTAAGATTTAATATTCCTCTCACAAGAGAAAAGAGCACAGGTAGTAACTTTTATGGGGCAATGAAATGCTCCCGTTATACGTCAGTGAGTTAATGAAAAAAAAATTACTTCATTTCAGGGATTTGAGTAATAAGTCCATAAAGAGAAATTGAGCCTATGGTTGAGGCTGGAAACAGTATAGAAATGCATGAACTATTTTCTGCTCGGACCCCAGAGAGGCTGTTTAACAAGAGAAAGAAAGAAAACGTGGTTAGCACCCATTGCAAGCAACCCTGACTCTGCCTGGAAGCCATCTTGTAAAGCAAAGGAGCTCAGTGCAGAGAACCACTGAATTCACTTCAGGCAAGGCTCATGAAGGTAGCCACTAAGACTGCACAGAAGAACAGCATGAAAAGCTTGTCTGTCTTGGACCCACCCAGCACTCTGGATTTTGTAAAAGGGAGTCCTTCACGGAGGTGTTGGCTCAACGTCCTCAATATGACCATTGAAAATAAGTAAATAAAAAAAAAATGAGGCTAAAAGAAAAACAGGGTTTTCATTGAATTGCCTTCTATTTACCAGTAATCACACCAAGTGTTTTTCTGAATTGGCAAAACCGAGTTCTCTACATATTTATATTGGTAACATTTTCCAGGAGGTTTTACCAAAAACGTATCGGAGCACCTTGTGTTGTGAAATCCGGAGAAATGAAAAACACTCACACAAACAAGCCTTGTCTCCCACTAGGTCCTGCTGGAGAAGAAAACCTACCTTTCCAAGGGTGGCTGTCTAAATAAGGCCTCCCTTCTTAGACTGTTTAATAGTTGCCTTAGAAACCACCAGAATGTGGTGTGCCTCCAGTCCACAAGGTAATACTCTGATAGGTTTAATCACCTGTTACTCGGCCAAACACACACTTGACTGAAGGTAAAATTGGCATTCACTGGGACTGGAGGTCTGCATTTTGCAGATCCTTTGGGCAGTTAAATGATAGCCTGTCTTTGGCATCAGGAGGAATGTGATGGTCCGGGGTTAAGAAATTCTTGTTTGTCAGCCTTTGGTAACGTAATGGGAAAGCACTCTTGAAAATGGAATTCTATCTTGTTGAACCAACTATTGAATTCCTACTATGAGCCAGGCTGACTGTGGAAACCAGCAACACACAGGGCTGCCCCAGGTCCTCTGTGCTTATATATCTCCCAGTGCAGTGTTTTTATGGGATTCCTGAGTGTACAACAAGTAGGTCACTCCATCTGGCAAGCACTAGAAATTTACAAAACACAACAACGATGCGTCATGATCATATGAAATACTGATTGAAAAATCAGTATTCTATAATCTCACCAACTGACTGTGAACTGATAGGTACTCTAAAAAATCATCGTTGACATTTAAAATTAATTCTTTAAGATCTCCAAAACATTTAGCATCCAAATATGTAGAACTGAAAGTAAAGATGAGGATGAGTTCTGAAGTTGGTCCTTGATTTCTGCCAAAAATAAGTGTGAATTCATTCTTAATTAGTACCTGTAAGTGGAGATGGCCCTTTGCCGTGTCTGTCTCTATAATAACTTCAACCATGCTTTGATATCTCCTTCCATCAGAGAATTCAGCAACAGCTCCAAGACTGCCTGTTGGTTGTCTCATCCCCCCTCCTCCCTACACTTGCTCAAGGGTGCTTCTCGCCTTTGTTTTACAGAATTGTGCCTTTAGAAAGGAAACTGTGGTAAACATCCTTGCACACCACAGCTTTTATTTCTTTGACGCAGAATCCCAGGGATTGAATTGCTGGGCCATTGTGGGTACTTTTAGTTGTTTTTGTTTGTTTGTTTGTTTTTTAATTTAACCCTTACTTTTTAAAAGTTTTCAAATTTTATTTATTTTATGTTTAAGAGTGTGTTGTGTCTGCATATCCATGGCGCCTGTGGAGGTCAGAAGAGGGTGTCAAATCCTTAGGAACTGAAATTATAGAGCTGTGAACTACCATGTGGGAGCTGGGAACTGAACCCAGCAAGAACATCTGGTCCAGTTTTCAAACCCCTAAACTTTGTTTTATCTGTCTGTCTATCTATCTATCTATCTATCTATCTGTCTATCTATCTATCTATCTTATTTATTTGTATTTTTAAAGTATTTGCAGATCGCCTCCCCAATAATACATTCTATAAAACTATCCATGGTGATATCTTTTCTCGAAATTCCCACTTAGAGCAGCTCTAATCACTTTAACAATTCCTCAGATGGGAACACAAGACAGTCCTTCAATTTTTGTAGAGTTAGATTTCCCTCATAAAAACTTTGGTCATCTTTTTATTTGTTTGTTACCCATCCTGACCCATTTCCTTGTGAATTGACAATTCAACTCCTTTATGCTTTCCCTCTTGTTGGCTTTGGTCTATCCGTGTGCAAACTCTCACTGTATATTCAAAACAATAACACTTTAACTGTCACTTATGTGGCAAATATCCTTCAAACACTGGTATTTTACTTTCACTTCCTGCCTTTCCTCATTCTGCATTTTACAAGCACTGATTTAATTTACATGGAATTTATACGATCAAAGGTTAGGGTCTCGTTTCATTTTCCTTCTTTTTTTAAACAAAATAAAATAGAATAAGATAAAACAAAAACTATCACATTGATGTCTAACAAGACAAACCAACAGAAGGAAAAGAGCCCAAGAGAAGGCACAAGAATCGGAGACTCGCTCATTCACACACTCAGAAACCCCATAAGAACACTAAACTGGAAATGACACTATAGACCACCGCGAGGACCTGGTGCAGACCTGTGCAGGCCCTGGTGCAGACCTGTGCAGGCCCTGCACTTGCTGCCTCAGTCTCTGTGAGTTCTTAGGAGCCTTGCTCGTGTTGATTTAGAGAAACTTGTTCTCCGTTTTCTTACAAATGGAGAGCCAGTTTTCCCAGTACCGCTTATGAACAGACTATCCTATCATACCCACTGAAGTAGAAAATACAAGTCCTTTTGTGCCCTTAATCTGTTTGTCTCTCTGAGTCAGTGCCTTTCCCAGTGAGCTATTGTAGCTTTGTGGAATGTTTTGCTGCCTCTTAGGTTTAATCTGCTCTCACGAGTCTTGCTCTTCTCGTGTTATTGCCTATACTAAACCATTTTTCCTCACTGTATGTTTTCAAATAATTTTACTGACTCCAAGCCCTCTCAGCACAAGCAGGAATTTTTAGTCAGTATACGTTTATGTGTTAATTTTGCAAGCACAGAATTTTCACGATTTTAACTCTTCTCATCTAAAAATAGGGTATCCTGGCGCATTTGTTTAGAAATTTTTGTCTTTACATAAAAACTTGGAATTTTTTTAAAGCGTACATCATGTATCCTTTTTAAAGAACTTATTTCCAAGTTAGTGTCCATGGCTTTTGCAACTGCAGTGAATATACAAAATAATACTTGTTTTTCTTTTCTTTTCTTTTTCTTTTTAGATTTATCTTATTGCACTCTGGTCCTTGTCTTCCCTTTCCAGCCCTCTGGTGGGTGGTTTTGTTCTACTGCATGCTTCTGACATGTTCTCTGCCTGACTGAGGCTGAAATGCAGAAAGGGCCAACTGAGCATGCTCTGGCTCCTCTGGAGTTGTGAGCCCAAATGAGCCTTTTCTCTTTGTAAGATTCTTTGTCACGATACTAGAAAGTTAACACAGCCATCAGTATCCCACCTTTTCTTCTTACTTCCTTTTGGTAATGTGGCTGTTTCTTAGTTTTTGCAGCCATGCAAGCCTATGTCCTGCAATAAGATGTCATTGTTAGCCTCTTTCAAATCTGTACCAATTATCTTATGGTTTTTGCCAAGAGTAAATGTTACTATCTGATTTTATATTGTGGTCCAGCTATCATAAACAATTTGATTTACGTATTGATGGCTTGGGCAGGCTTTAGTCATGGGTTAAGTAGTCTCTTTTCTTTTTCACACAGTTCTTATTAGAACTATTTAGCAAATGTTTCCAAAGGTCTTAAGCATACTATCTTTATGGATAAAGTTGAGGGATTTCTCTCCTTCAGCATATAAAATCATGCTGACAATTTTCTCAATTTCGTTCCTGCATTCCTGGAATTCGTGCTACTTAGTAATAGCCCAATTTAGTGTATATCTTATGTGATTCTGGTTTCCATTTCATGATGCTTTCATCTGAATTTTTGACATAGAACTCATAAGAAGTTGGACGGCAGCACTTTATCTGCACTATATTAATTAAATGCTGAGATTATGCTGGATTTAGGAAACAAGTAAGGAGATTGACATCTTTCCCTCTGACCCGGAATAGTTTAAATACAGGGATTGCATAATCTCTGAGGATTTAATCAAACACAGTCACAAAGCCATCTGCTCCTATTAATTTCTTTAGTGGCTTATTTTTGATCAACTTTCCAGCATTTTCTGTAGCGTTTAGTGTATTGAGCTGGCTCCTTTTCAGATCCTTCTGTCCCTTATGACACCCTTTTCCTCTAAGTTGTCAAATATATTTCCAATTCGTTTCGTGGACTTCTTCTTTTTTTAATCTCTTCCACATCTGTGATCATGACTTCTTTTCCTTTCTATTATAGCTTATACCTTTTCTCTCTCTCTCTCTCTCTCTCTCTCTCTCTCTCTCTCTCTCTCTCTCTCTCTTTTAATTTTTCAAGTTCAGGAGATTTATCTACTTTACTATTCAAATTAGAGTTTGGGTTTATATATCATTTCTATCATTTTTGTTTATTTTCTGTTTTGTGGGTTTTAGTTCCAAAATTTATTAATACACCCTGCCTTGTAT